GTTCCAAGGCTGTATGCAGAGCCAGGGAGACAGCATCATCCACTGATCTGTTGTTCTGGTAGGCGAACTGCAAGGGGTCTGTGATGGTGGATTTGATTTGTGACAACACCAGCTTCTCCAGGCATTTCATCACCACAGATGTTAATGCTACTGGGCAGTAATCATTCAGGCATGTCCTTTTTGGGGATTGGAACAATACTGTTTTTTTAAAAGCAGGTGGGGACCATGGACTGTGACAGGGAGGAGTTAAAGATGTCCGTAAACACTGTGGTCAGCTGGGCTGCACATGTCCTCAGGATGCGAGGTGGTATCCCATCAGGCCCTACAACCTTACGTATTTCACCCTGCTCAGAGTCTTCTGCATGTCCTGCTCTGAAAGTTTCAGAACAAACTCGCTGTTTGTTCTGAAACAAACAGTGAGTTTGTTTAGATCAACAACATGTGCAGAATGTACCCGACAACCTAAACTTACCCTATACACAAAAGTTCACACAAATACACAAGTGAACTACGAATACAAATAAGGGAAAATGAGAGTAGATAAGTAACAGCGACAGGAAGGAGCATAGAGGTTGATATAACACGTTTGGGCAAGGTAATGGCAAAATAAAGATAATACAAACAAACAAAAGTACACGGAAACTAACACAAACCAAACAAAGCTGAAGCTATACGAAAACACACACACGCGACGCGAACACAGTGAAGCGAAGCCATAGCAAAACAAAAGTGAAACGAAGCTGAGCTGAGCAGAACCAAAGTCAAGTGAAAGGCCCCTTCGTTCTGAAAACCTCCAAGTTATATACTGAATAAGCTTAGTTCTGATTGGCCGACAAGCTGATTGATTATGACGTCACAACGACAAAGATGGTATAGTGATGGACCAATGGTGGGGGGGAGGGGGGTAGCTGAATACAGGAAGTAGAAAAACAAAAAAAACATACAGATGCAGCAATTCAAAATGCACGCAATTACCCACAGTGCACCGTGGTGTACCGCGATATGTCATTTGGCTGGCCAAAATGACCAACAGGGGCACTTGTGGTGCATTGGTGGTTAGTGAAACGATTTAATCATTTAATGTCTTTATTGTACATGTTTTTATCTAATGCGTATTCAATATTTATATGGAATTTTACAACTAAAAGGAAATTTTAGTAGCTTAGCATAAAAAGAAGAGGAGCATAATGCATCTGAAGGTCATAAACAATATTAATTTAGGAACATAAATATTTTATGTAAACTGTATATGGCTGGTATTGGTATTTTAAAGAAAAAATAAACACTAGTATTCCACTTTCTTCCTAAACATTTTTTAACATCAAAGTCTTACATATGGTTATTTTGGAAACGTTTTTATGTGCTCCTTCTGACCATATTAAGTTTATTTACTTTGAGAAAAGTTATAATGTTTTAACCTTTTCTGTGAATGCGCTTGTTATCGCAGTAAACAAAAGCATACTTTTTAGAATTTGATAAGTAGGGAATATAATATGGAATATAAAGAATATAAAGAAATTGTACATTGTAGCTCAAATTATCACAGTAGTACACTTTCTTTGGAACTGTCTGCTTCAGTTTCACTCCTTCCCACATGATTACATCTGTGGAACCCAACGTGTCTCCTCTATAACTTTTCAGTTTACAGAGAAATTCTGCCAGACTCTCACAACATTGTCCAATAATACTCTTCTTGTGTTTAATTTTCTTTATTAATTTCTTTAGATACGTGATTCCATATTATGTTACCTATTAATCAAATTCTAAAAATGTCAATATAGTGTCCATAATATTTGCTATTTTAGTTTTTCAAAGAAATTCTTTTTTGTTAAGAAAACTGATGATGACAGAAGGTCTTGAACACCCAACTTACAGGACAGAAAGCACATACTTAACCCATTATGCCACAGATGTAATCACATGGGAAGAAGTGAAACTGAAGCAGACATTTCCAAAGAAAGTGTACTACGGTGATAATCTGAGCTACATTACATGAATATAATTATATTGTTATTATTTTTTTTTACATACGCTATTCCATTTTATAATCCCTATTAATCAAATTCTAAAAAGTATGCTTTTGTTTGCTGCGATAACGAATTCGCAGAAAAGGTTAAAACATTATAACTTTTTAAGTATATAAACCTGATATAGTCAGAAGGAGCACGTAAAAATGTTTCCAAAATAACCACATGTAACCGAATGCAAGACTTCGATGCTTAAAATGTTTAGGAAGAAAGTGGAATACTGGTGTGTCTTTTTTTATTTAAACTACCAATACCAGCCATATACAGTTTACATAATATGTTTATGTTCCTAAATTAATATTGTTTATGAGCATGTGAAAGGCATGGTGAATCGGAGATTCTCAAAACTTACTTTGTATGAATGGAAATGAATATGTGATCAGATCAAAGAAATGTGGAGTTACTTTTTGTCAATTGAAAAATAAATTATTTTCGTGTTGCAACAGTTAAACTAATACAGACGGTTATGGTAATACTTTGAGCTTATAGCCTGCCCAAGGTCATTATAAATACTATTAGTAATATCTTCCGTAAAGACTTTGATGCATAAAATATTTCTGCATAATTTAAAAAAAAATACTTTTGTCCAACTGAGCAATCTTGCTTTTATAAAATATACTGACTTTTTAATGTTTAATGATTAACATGCTGGAATACACAGTTTAAAATTATTAAAAGTCTACAACTTAAATTCTTAATTGAAAAAAGATCGTCCCTCAGCAGTGTTTTCTGGCGACACCTGAAATGCTGTACATGAGACGTTAAGCTTTTTTATCTCCACCTGGCGGTTTTACAAGGTTTTACAAGGTACTTCCGGATACTATTATAATCTAATTTGCATACGGTATAATGCAGTATATTGTATATTACCGCAGCATACCTCGCTCATTTTGAATGGCTGCATCTGTACGGACTCACCGGGATGTAACATAGCTGTACTAGTATGGCTGTGCATTCAAAAGAGCTTCACCCCAAATAAATATATTTTACACGTGCAATAGAATGTATACACTTTACAGTCTTATTAATTTGATCAAGAATACTTATTAAGGTTTATACAACAATTATTCTGGTGTAATGTTGATTTTTTAAGTTTATTTTTATAAGTTGTATTTGATGATTTAATGATGGTTTGACATATGAAATGTGATTATGTATACTTGTATGATCTCTCGATGTCTGTATGAAAATAAGTAGTAATATCGTGTTACTGCTGAGATGTTTTCCTGTTTAGTGTTAATAGTTTTTGCTACTTCAAGATATCTGTGCCTGTCTACTGTTGACTAAAAGTGCACACTATGTGACCAGCTCACACTAACAACCAACAATCATAATTAGCAATAGATAATATGTATACTATTTCACAGGCAATTCTGAAAGAATTGTGTCTAAATCAGATATTGGAACTGAGTAAATTAGATGTGTTTCCCTTTTTTTACACAGAGCTCGTAAAGAATACAGTGCCAAGGTTGACAAAAATTAAAAGAAAACGCTTAGAAATATACTAATCTGTGCATTACATATACATCTTACCTCACTGGAATGAGAGGTTGAAACTTCTGTTTAGTTGATAATATTATAAGATAATTTGTGATTGTGATTTTTTTTTTCTAGTACTTACTTGTGTGCCAGTGTCATTTTGCCATTAATTTCCTTGGGGAGCTCAGCCTCTGGATGGTTATCATAGCCATATTTGGCAAAGATACCTGTTAAATGATTCTGAAAAATAAATATGTGTATAAATAAAGTTAAAATGTCATAAAATGTTAATTAAAAAAAAACTACATCAAATCTATTATAATTCTTAAAAAACATACTGTACATTATTAACAGTACATGCAGCATATTAAGGATAATGGAAAAGTCACAATTGCAAAAAAAATAACACATTTTGCTATAAATAAAATTCGTCAATGATAAGGTGTATTAATTCAATCCTTGCGAGTGATTGTGTGAATTTATTGGCACAATCTTAATTGTTACAGTAAATTTTGTGTGCTTACCTTAACTAGCATATTCTCAGATTCACAATACATGAACACGGGGCACGGGAGTAATGGAAGCAGTTTTGAGGACTGTTGGTACAACACCAGTGCTCATGGATTCATTTATTATATTGAGGACAATGAGACAGAGAGAAATGAAACAGGATTGAAATAAAGTGGTGGGAATGGGATGTATTAGGCAGATGGTGCATTTTATGTGCAAAACCAATTTACTGATGGAAGTTGGAGAGAATGGAACCAGTAAAGTTAGGCAAGCAGGGAGGAGTGAAATACTATTACTTAGATCAATAAAAAGTATATCAATGTGTAAGGATAAAAACTGAATTCTTAAGATCTCTAATGTTGAAAATTGAACCATACTCATCCACAACCATGGATGCAACTCCCGCACAAAAGGATAACGTAACAGCTGATGGGGTCTGTCACAGCTCTACTGGCTGTTCTCTACTGGCTCAATGCTACTGGTTCAGCATGAGGTATCAGGGATGGAGAGAGATGTCTGACTGTAAATTCACACTGACAGTTCTTTTCAGTGGGACTTCCAGGTTAGCATTGAGCTGAAGTGGAACAAAGTCTGTTCAAAGGGGTTACTGCTACATCAGTGTGACTCACACAAAAATTGAGAAATGTGTTTTGCTCCCAACATAAAGGCTACTTCTGAGTAATGAGATATTCAGGTGTGTTGATGAAAGTCCAAATGTATTGCTCTAGTGGTCAAACAGATACATGGTGGTAGATAACTAGTCATGAGGTCTGCAGCTGACAGTGCATTCCAAAAGATTAGACAACAGTTGAGGCAGTGGCATTGTTCTATTGTCTGTCACTCTGCTGGTTCAGTAGAGAGAAGCAAAGTTAAAGTTGTGCGCCGCTTTTTTACTGGTGAAAATATGGTTGGTGATGGCTTAAGAAGTCACCAGGGGGAGTGGGTTTCCACGTCCTACAAGTAGGTGGTTGGTGGGATATCTTTTGGATGATTGACTATGATGTGTGACTTAATACCACCATCCCAATATGCATATGGCTCTCAACCAGACATCCTGGTGTCAGGGGTGAGACATCAATCATGGTCCTGGTTGGTGTGCAGTCCTAGGAGATGCTACTTATCAAATGACAAACTCACCTCCCCTACATTGCAGCACACAAAGACCAAAGAGGTTATTCTGTGGCTGGGACCACAGAGATGGGCCTCACTGAAAAATCTACAGTAATTTCTGGAAAAGAGTAGGTTAACCTGTGTCTTGGCCAAATATGCTCCACTGCGTTGGGGTTTCCTGCCTGGCATTTCAGCTTCAGGGGGAAGTACAACTATGATCCCCACTGGCTAATGCCTATCCAGAGCATCAGTGTATCTGTCTGCTAGCCTGCACCACTGACCAACCAAATGGACTGTCCATTAGACATGTAAGACCACTGTTCCCCAGGAGCTTTGCAGTAGGAATCCTCAAGCCATGAGGGTGACACCATGATAGCCTTGGCTCCCTGACTCTGGTTGACAGGTTTTAGTTTCACTGAAACTGAAAATCTGAAAGGGGTTTCAGTTTCGCTGAAGGTTGGCAAGCTCCTTTTCAAGAAAAAAAAAAAGTTAATTCCATGCTGAAAAGTAGTAAAAGCAATCTCAGCTAGAGAGCCTTGTTCAGGTTTAAACATTTAAATACCATACCAGCGTCGAGATGGATGATGCCTCATATTTTCTTTTTGGTTTCCTGTCCTTCATAGATAATACTGTTTCCATTTCAAAAATTTTTAATGCATTTTCACTTGATGATGGTTTAAAACAACAGCCTCCTAAAATGAGAAAATTAGATGTTATGTTAGTAGATTTTAAGCAGTAGTAATTTTAAGTCAATTTTGTATATCACTTATTTTTAAGAAATTTAACTATATCATGCTTAAAATAAAAATGTTTTCATTTCTGTTATTAAAATATTATAGTGACATTTTAATGTTATTTTTAATTTATCATCTCTACTTTGAGTGGTTCAGCATTTTATTTCAGATGATAGTAATACTCTTCCTGCAAATGTATTCAGATCCTTCCTATGGTGTCCCATTTTGTCAAATTACAAAATTACGCCTACAATGTTTTTTAAACTGAATATTTAATTCCCAACCTGAGTGCTCAAATTGAAGAATTCTAAGGGTAAGCAAAGTAAATCTCAACAAAAGCTAAAGAGAAAAATATGGTGTTTGGAGTTAAAGGAAAAACATATTAATTCCATATATACTGATGGAAAAAAGCAACACAACATTTTCCGGAATGTGAATACTATAGTTATAGCTCGTGTACTTTCACAAAACGTTGTCAATTTGTTTTAAGCCCTTTGACCAGTTTATGCAGCGAGGCATTGCAAATTGATCAAAGAAAAGCTTGTTAGGTGCCCTTTTACCCAACGAGTTCCAGGTAGAACAATGCCTGATCAGGTCACCTTTAAAATGGCCTTAATTCAAAGCTAAGGTCACTGCAAGAAAAAGGCCAAACTTAGTCAGTTTTCAGGGTATTCCGTAATCCCTCAAATGTCACCATAAGCAAAGGAGAGGGTCATTGGCACGCTGCAGGCAGGCATGTCATGTTCCAGTGTTGCCAGATACTATGGAGTAAGCGGCTCCACTGTGTCCCGATTGCAGAGAAGGTTTCAGCAGCCCAGCAGGACAGATGACAGTCCAAAATCCATTTGCCCTTGAGTGACCACACCAGAGCAGGACCAACAGAGAGATTGTTTCAGATCTGCCAACCGTACTGCTGCTGAAACTGCCGGCAAACACTATGCCCGCATCAGTGACAGGACAGTGAGAGAGATCCTCTGCTCACACCTCCTAGATGTCACACCTGACTGGCTTGGGCCGCAATGGACTAGTCAATAGTGGCATCAGGTCCTCTTCATTGATCCATGCAGATGGGAGGGCCAGAGTATGCAGGAGGAGGTGTTGCATTTCTTTTTTCCATCAGTATATATTCAGATAAGTGATCTCCATTAGTAATTACTTAGTAATTAGTTTTCACAGCAAATTTGGTACAACTGGTACAATGACAAATCTGCCATTTTTTGGCGAATTTGCTCAAGCTCCTTAATGTAGTTTGGGAATGACTTATGAACAATCCAAACGACAAAATTCAAAAGGTGTGGTCAAAATGCGGGAGCAAAGAGTTAGTAACAGGAGATCAGTCAAAAGGCTTGGAAACACACACAGGAGAATACTACAAGAAGCTTCTCAATTGTGAGGGTGGGTAGGTGTGTGAGGTGAGTTAAAATATTGAAAGGAAAGGGATTTGGTTGGATAATTGGTTAGGGAGTGAGAATTTGTGGAATCTAGTGCATCTGGGAATGTGATGGGTTCAATTAGGAATGAGATAGTGAAACAGTGGTTCAGGGAATGCAACGCCGTTTGCGAGGGAGAATGTGGGGTGTGACAGGAGGGGAATGGCGTTTGCGAGGGTTAGTGCGGGACGTGACAATTATGTATTCATATGTATTTGGTGCACAAAATTGCACCAAAAACTACTGGTAATTGTGATATCATTTTTTAAATGTAATCCTCGTCAATGTGTTGTCAATTAAGACTTTAAACATTAAATTTGTGAGAGCAAACATTAGAAAAGTGTTTATGAAGATGAATGGAAAAGTAGTATATGTAGAGCCAACAGGTCTTGAGTTTTGTCTGGCTTTGAGGGTGTTAAGTCTACAGATGCAGCCATTCAAAATGCGCGGGCAATACTGCATTATTTTCCGGTACGCTGTATGCAGTCTACCGCGAGTTACCGGTAAATACCGCAAGTTACCGGTAAATACCGCTAGCAAAATAATAGTATCCGGAATTTCCGCAAGGTGGAGCTAATAAAGCTCAACCTCTCATGTTTGAGCTGTAGCCATCAAAGTCTTTAACGAAGATATTACTAATAGTATTAATAATAAATGACCTTGGACAA